TTTATCAATATAATAAAATGTGGAAATTGGAGACAAGAATAATTATTTCAATTTTTTTTATTTATGTATTATTATTTAATTTTATCTAGTAATATTATTACCAGATAGAAATTTTTATACATAAAACAAAATATCTTACTTCCTCAATAAAGATAATTTATCTTTAAAACAACATATCAAAAATTTGTTCTATAATGAAGATGGTAAATGTGATAGTGAGATTGTTTCATTAATGATTAAATATCTAAATTCTTCTAAAAAAAGAAAATATAAATCTTATTTAGAATCAGAGAGGAATTCTGATTTTGAAGAATCTTCAAAATAAAAAAAGAGAAAGAAATTAATTATTCTTAAACAGTCTTATTGGAGTTGAAAAGACTACTTTTGGAAAAATATTATCACAATATCTTGAAGCCCGAGGTTTTATAGTATTCTATCCTAAAGAGGCTTTGATCAAAGTTTCTAAAGAATTTGAATTAGTATATGAAACTAGAGAAATATTTTTTCTTCAAAATAAAATAATTAAGGTTTATAACAAATTGATTTAAGAAATAGAAGAAAAGAATATTGATTATGTTATATTAGATTGCTTCTTTCTCAAAATTAATATATTTTCAAATGCTAATATTGAAAATGAAAAATTAAAAAAATATCTTGAAAAAAAGTATTAGAAATCAAATTTAAAAATATCTATGAAACAAAAGTAGTTTATTTTAAACCTTCTAAACAAATAATGTATAACTGAAAGGCTAAAAGAAATTGATCTGATAATAAATATTATTCTTTAGAATATTTAAAAAAAATTTATGATCAGTATAAGCAAGATTTTAATGATATTTATTCTGAATATATTTTATTTGAGAATAACTTTAATCTTTGTAAAAAGTGTTGTAAGCAAAAAAAATATTCTAAAGCTAGTTGTGAATTTTCAAATAAAAAAGTTTTAGAAAAACTAATTTAGTTAACTTGTGTATTATTTATTCTTAATCTATTTAGTCTTTGACCGAAAAGAATTTTAATTATGTAATCTTCAACTATGGCCAATGAAAAAAAGTAATTTTTTCTATTACTGAGTTTTTTGTTTAGTATTATAACAGATTATAAGTGATGCTATAAAAGTGAGCTTTTTAGTATTAGGTTAATTACTATGAATAGTAAAAAGAGTCACCTGTATAAAATCTGTTATTTTATATTCATGAAAAATTTAGTATTAGAATATAGTTGATGATAACAAATACATATTTTTCTTATTATTTTTTTTTTAGTTAACTACAAAATATAAAGAAGATGGTTTTGAACTTGAATTGTTAAAACTAATTCGAGAAAATCAAATTGAATATTTTACAACTCATACAGATTATAAGATCGATAATACTTTTATTTCTATTGACGATAGTTATATTGATTTATTTGGTAATTATAATCAAATAAATTATATTATACAATTGAAATAGAAATATTCAAAATATCATATGGGTCCAAAAGATATATATGAATTTATAAATACATTTTTCAAGCAAGCTGAGAGCACAGTAGACTTTTTTGTTACAAATACAACATATTTATTAAACTCTATAAATGAAGTGAAAATTTTAAATATAAAATTATTCTTTATACTGATGTCAATATAATTGAAAAACTTAAATTAATACAATTATTGTTAGAAAATGAAAATTTGAAAAAAAATTCTTTTGGTTTTGAAGATTTAAATTTAGAAGTTGAAATAGATATAAAAGAACCTGTATTTGTTTATAGAATGAAGTTAATAGAAAAATACAAAATTGGTAGTATTAAAATTAAATGTAGTAATTTTAAATTGATCCTTATTGAATTAAATCTGTTTAGTCAAGTTGATCAAACAGATTTTTATCAATATAATAAAATAAAATAGGGTAACAACAATCTTCTAATTGTAAAATTATCATTGTATTAGGTTCTATCAGTGCTGAAAAAACCATATTTATTTATAAACTTACAAAATATTTTGAAGAAAAACAAATTAAAACATATGCTCCAGTAGAAATAATATTGCAACTTGAAAAAGAATTAGAATTTTTTTATACTAATCCTAAAAAATATGCATTTTTTTCAAAATATTATTATTGATAAATAGGCAAAAAAATTCAAATTAATCAAAGAAAAAGAAAGATATTTGATGTTATTATATTAGATCGAATAGTGATTGACATGAAAGTATTCACTGAAGTAAATATTCATGATAAAACAAAACAAAAATATCTTAAAGAAAGAGTAAAAAAATCGAAAAAATTAAAGCAGATTATGAGATTTTTGTTAATACAAAAGCAACAACTTGCTTTAATTGATAACGAAGTAGAAATCGTAAAGGAGAAAATCGATTTGTGATAAATATAACAAATTGATTTCAAAAATGTATTCTGAGTATATATTATTTGATACAGATAGAATTATACTTAAAGATTATAATGGTAAATTTAAAAAAATTTTTACTAAATATTTATAATTTAAATCAATTATATTTTAGTCATTATTTTATTAGTTAGTTATTATACTGACTAAAATTTTTTTCAGTAAAATATCTTTACGACAAATATTGATAAATAAAGAAAAAACAGATTTGTTTTTTATATACGATACAGTTGATCATAATGATTATCAAAAAAGTTATTTTCAATTATATACAGTTGATTCATGCGATAAATAAAAAGTAATAAATGTAAACATAAAAGATATATTTTTTAATATCAAAAAGTGCAGAAAATTGAATATTATCATGAAAATTTAGTTGTTTAAAATATTTTAATAAAATTTTTAGATCATTATCTCCAAAAAATAATAATTCTTGAGGATTCACGTAGATTTAATATTTTCATAGAAGTAAATAATTGCTAATTAGAAAAATCTATACTGAAGTTCATTAATAACATTTGTTGAATAATCATATACATCTATTATAAATTCATCATAATCTTGTTCAATAAAAGAAAGGTTATTGTCCAAATATGTTATTAAAGAATTTTCAAATAGATTAGTTTCGTCTATAAATATTTGAATATTTTGTCCAAATCTTTGATTTTGATCTATTAGAATATACTTCTTTTGAATAGAATGAATTATAGCTTGTATCATAAGATTTATATCTGAAAATTTTAAATTTTTTTTTGTAAAAATTTATTTAATTGTGTTATATATTCCAAGATATCGTAAAAGTAAAATAAAAATGCTAGCATTTTCCAAGATGTTAGTTGCTTGTATAATTCTTGTCTATCATTATCTTTCGATTCTTTAAAAAGTTTAAGTAATACCAGAATTGAATTGCAGATATTTTTAATAGCTTCATATTATGCAAGCCAATATATTTCATATAATTTTTATTTTTAAAGTTGGATCATCTAAAATATTTTGAATTTCCTGTAATTGTTGAATGTGTAAATATGAATTTTTAAAATAATTATAGATCCTTTTAACTAAAGGTTTAACTTCTCTATAAAATTTAACTTCTTTTTTGCATTTTTATATACTAGAGCTAATCTATGAGCAACACAATGATTGACAATTAAAGGATAGATGCATATTCTAGAAAGTTTTGTAGCTACGCCTCTATTTTTTTCTAGCATAACAGAAGCACCATTAGAGGCAAATACTACAAGTTTAGATAAAATATTTTTTCTTAAAAATATCAACTAAAACCTTAGTAATATCTTCTGCATCACAACTAGTTAAAGATACAATACATAAAAAATGTGTTTTTAAGATTCTTTCTTTAGTTATATATAAAACATATATATCTAAATTCTTCATAGTAGTAATATCTGTACTTTTATCAATCATTACACCAAATACTATATCACATAATTCATTCCAAATTTTTTCTTTAATAGTATTTAATATTGCCTCCAAAAATTCATAGCCTGAAATATTATTTGTATATGTAATTACATTAGCAAAATTTTTAAGCAGATATATATCGATATATAGCAGTTAATCGATATATATCGATTAAAAATTATCGA